TGAACTATTTGTGTAATTAAATTAACTTTGATAATCAGTGTCCATAATTGTACAGTTGTGTGTCATTTCACAGAGGAAGAGTCATTTTTATATTGATACAAGGCCCAAGAAACACTCAATGTAGAGGATTACTGAATGAGGTGTATGCAAGAGTAGGGGGTTTGGCTGATTTTGTTTAGTGGCATATTAACCTCTATAGGTTATTTAATGTCTAAGTCTAAATATTTTGAACAATTTTATAGCTTCAAATAAATATTTTGAACCCAATTGTATGCTACAGATAAAATGTATTGTTGGTAATTTTTTATATAAAAATGTATTGCTGGTATTTCTACTATAAAAATGTATTTTTATACTTTCATAGTGTTTTGTATTTGTTTGGGGGTTCACTATTTGTACATATCTGGGACCCCCTAACAGATTTTACTACCCCGGGTCAGGGTAAAACTGAGAAAAACAGCAATTTAGTAGTGGTTCCATACTCCTCAAAACCTCCAATCTCCTGATCAGAGGCATTGCTGCTGAATGTTGTTTATCGTCATACAAGAATAGGTGGTAGGAAGTGAAGATTATGAAAATAAGAGGATAGATAATGATGATTGACCCTTGATTTGAAAAGGTTACAAATGTAGTGTTCAGGAAAGCATCCATGTGGGAGGTACAATCATTTTTTTTAATAAACATACTGCTAATAAATGACCTTCAATATTTTGTCGTTATTTTGTCCTGCATGAACTCTATTTGTGTTTTTAATTCTATTCTTAACATTTATTTTTTAAGAAGATTTACTCAAAATATTTTCCCTGTTTAATTTTTATTCCACCTGTAAAACATCTATTATTTTACCTATAGGTTCCACCTATTGTGGTTGTGGTACAAGGAACAAGATTGGGTAAAAATCTACAATGTGGAAATTGTGCTGCACTGCTCTTTCAAATAAAGAGGGCCAAACTGCCTTGAAAATCAGCATTCAAAATTCTGTCAATACCCAACTATCTCAGCGACTAAGTGAGCAAATATCAGTTTGTGTGTAGATATTTTTTAATGCTTAATTTTAAAAAGTTTTTATCGTATCACTATAGAAATTAGATGTTGACTTCTTACCAAATTAAAAAAAAATTGGTAAGTAGTAGAGATATATTGAAAAAGCCATGTTGTATTTTAATGACCTACCTCATCATCATCATCGTCATCAGTACTATGAGTGTATGTAGTTGTAGGGTTGCTGTGCAACTGAGCACTTGATCATTTCTCTACACATATCTGGGTTGAAAGCCAGAGAGGTTTTCATTCATACTTAATGTTATGGTAATTTACCCATGCACGCATGGACTCCCCCAGCTATAAATAGGAGCAGGTACTGCCTTTTTGGAGAGGGAAGTTTCCAGTCATCAGCTCTGACAGTCAAACTGAACATTCATGCTGTAATACTCTCATTTGTATATGTTTGTATTACAGTTTCTGTTAATATATTTGTTTAACTCTTCCTCTCTTAGTGTTTTTATTTCTGGCCCTAACAAGGCCACAACACATAACCTGTTTTGTGCAAGTAGATCTGGTGTTACCCATCCCTGCTATAGGTGAAAACACAGCCAATGACTACCAAATTAGAGGCTTGCCATGGTCATAGATCTGTGATTGTTGATTCCATTGGAAGAATCTTCTACCCTGGCTGTTGATTTCATTTTAGGAAGCCCTCTACCTAATGATGACGTGGCATTACCAAATTGGCAGCATTCATAGCTATAGAGCCTAGTTTACCTCATTGTGTTACATGGCTGTTGTCTTTATAGAAAGGTTCATCAATATATTGACTGTTCATGTTTTTGAACCTGCTGGGTGTGTAACCATCCTCCTCACCAGAAAAACCTTATAGTAGAACTGATTTAGTCACCTACAATCTGACCACACCAACAGAAATATAGTTCAGTATATGTAGAAACCTGAAAAAAAGTACAATATTGCTGCTTGGGGAGAAATAGAAAATCATAAGAGTTTAGAATCAACAATTACATTTATTTATTATGTGGTACAGTATGGATGAGGTATGGCTCTTAGTGCAGAAAGTAGCATTAGTGAACTAAGTTCAAACTTTGACTGAATCTAATTAAAAGAAAAAAATTGTAGTTCCAACAAATGATTTATTTTTATGGAAATATTTCGACTAGCAGTTGCCAGTCTTGATCATGCCTTAATTTGAGTAAAAACAGTGCAAAGAAGTTCGAAATGCTTAAGAATTCAAATCAAGGAAAACAAACCGGGTAGATGATGTTTACAACATAATAGCAAGTTGAGGTGTAAAAAAAAAAAAGGATTTTTGTCTTTTACTCTATAAATTGCCCTTTTTTTTCCTTTTTTTTTTTTTTTTGTCATATCATTTTTCTTTGGACCAGAGATGTCCAGACAAGATGGAGTTGTGCTGCATCTATCCTATTGCAGGCATTTTTTTTTTACAAGTTTTTTTCTTTTAATTATACAACTACCAACAGGGACAAGCATCCTAAATCTGACCAAGTTTGTTGTATTTAATTCACACTGATCTTTGGAAAGTTATAAATTTATTGCTTCTCTCTCTTCACAGCTATGGATTAAATAACAGAACAAATAGGTCACTAGCTTTGGCTGGCAGCCAGTATAAGAGAAAGAAAGAAAAATCTGAATTCAAACTAATTGAGTCTACTAGCATTGAATGTGAAGTGGCAACCCTTCAACTTTCATCCTTTAACTTTTCATTATGAATATGCTTCCATTTGGAGAAGTGCCTATGGCTCTGTAGATTAAGAGGTCTGCTGTACACCATGCTTATTACAGTCTGCTTGATGACAGAAATAATACTAATGTATGAGAAAATTAATTTGCAGTAATAAGGTTGCAAAATGTAAAAAAATAGGTATGGCAGTTTGGAGTACCATTTGTACTTTGTCATCTTTTCAATCACATTTGGTAAGTCTACTGTGAAACTCTGCATGCAAAGTACAACCAGTCAACTCCCCAGCTTTTGCTGCCCGTCTGATGTTCTCTCACTCATACTCATTTTATCAAGTGACTAAGTCTCAGAAATTTGCATAAGCCACAAATTTGTCTTGCAAAATCTCTGATCTCCAAGATCAATTTGTTTTCAAATTTCAGCTTTTGGATCGGCCATATTTTCTTTCACATATTTTGCCCACAAGACACATATGATTGTTTTGTTCAAGGAGGTAAGCTGTTTTCCCTTTGACACAAAGGATATGGTGTGATTTTGTAGCTGTGGTGTGTAGTTATATGTGAAGGAAAGCTCAGACTTGTCACTTAGGTGTGTGAGTGGTTCATACTTTGATGTAGTGTCTAATCTTAACAGATGTCATGTTGAAAGATAAATGAAAAAGGATACATGATAATGCGTAGCTCTCCTGCAAAGGAGTCAAAAATTGGATTTAGCAAAAGTGTATTCTGATTGGTTAGAAAATACATTTCACCCACTCCCTGCAAACTTCAGTTGTCAGTTACTGAGGCATTTCAGGATCTGAGCCATTAAACAAAAATTTAATTTGCCCAAACACAAACATGATCACTACAGAATAAATGTGAATAAAATGAAAACAGGAAGATTGTCTTCCAATTATAAAACATTTGCCTGTTTACTTGCCTTGAGAATCAGCATTTGAAATCTTGATTTTCACCTGAGTTTAAATACTGTCCCCTGGATCCACTGAAGTTATCTTAATTATTAGCACTTTCTATAAGTGAAGCTGTTCACAAGTTTTGACACTAAAGTTCTTTAATCTGGTACTTAATGATCTGTTAACTGCCATAATCCAACTCCATGATCCAAAGCAAAGTTGAGTAAAGTGTTCTGGTGATATGTCTTGCTCGTTTTTTATACACAGCTGCATATTTACCTATTCAGGAAAGAAAGTATATATTATTTTGGGGTTTTAGTCTTTTTTTTAAACTTTAGCCATGAAACAATAAAAACATTGTTTGGAAGCATTAATAATTATTTTATTTCTTGTTCTAAGGTTTCTCCTACCTTTGCTTCATCCTGGGTAAGATGATAAACTATGTCCAACAGTAGAGCCTCTGATCAGGAGGTTTTGAGGAGCGTGGAACCACCTCTTAATTAAATGTTCCCAGGCCCACCATGACCTGGGGTGGTAGCACCTGTTAGGGTCCCAGCTATGGGCAAATAGTTGACCCCCAACCTGACTCAAAACACCATGAAAGTGTAAAAATAGGTTTTAATACCAGAAATACTTTGTAAAAAAAATTACTACCAGCAATAAATTTTTGAAAAATTATTACCAGCAACAAAAATTTTGTTGGCATTAAATAACTCATTGAGGTTGATATGCTGTAAAACAAACCAAACCTACCTTTGCTAATTCAGCAATATATATATATATATATATATATATATATATATATATATATATACATGGAATGAGCTGGCAAAACTGTTTGCATCATCTTTTCTTATTTAGAAGTGATTTCTATCATCCAACATTTTCTGTCATCTGGCAGTTACCTTGTCCAAAGTGTATCAGATTAAAGAGGTCAGTCTGTATTAATTCATTTCAGTATATATTAGTTGCTTCTTGTCCTGTAGCCATGTACCAAACTGAATAGTTAACTTGGGCATGAGAAGAATGGGCAAGGATTGTCTACCAAAAACCCAGAGTTTGAAATTTTAGTTTTGCAGAGACTTGACCACTGTTACTGAGGGCAGAAATTCAAATATCAAGCCCTCAATGCCAAATGAAGGATGATTTATAGATGCTATATTTTCCAGCATATAAGATACAGATTTAACTGCTGAAAATATTACTCTGCATCCAATATGCTAGTATTATGACTAAAGTGTTATCTCCCAAATGCATAGCTATGGGAGCTTGTAAACTATGCATATTATAGGCTCTTCAATACTGTACTTCTATAGTACAAGAGTTTTATTGTTTTAGATTTACTGTCATCATTTTTTATGTTCTGTCTAATAAGCCACATTTATTTTTATTTTTCAGATCTCAATGATAATGAATGGCACAAACTGCAGATAAGTCTGGATATCAACACAGGTGGATTTGCTGTGTCATTAGATTTCTTCACCTCTCAAAACCGACAACTGAGGGCATTCAAAGATATTAAAAAGGTTTTAAAGTGGAGTAAACTATTGTCTGTGATATATTATGGAGGTAAGGCAACAAGTTTCATTTCCTCATGAGTTGCAGGACTGAATGATTTGAATTTGGCTCATGAGTTGCAGGACTGAATGATTTGAAATTTTCTAGCAATCAATCTGCATATTTTCTTCTTCTCAGTAAAATGAAGCACTAAAGCAAAACAAACAGCTTTTATTTTGTAAAATTATCTAATAATGATTACTCAAGATTAATTACTTTTCCAAAATACGAACTAAAAAACAAGGTTGTCTTCTGTAGAGCAATGGCTAGCAAGTTAGTTTTGGTAGTCTGTTACTTGTGAGTTCAGTCCTTGCAACAGACGAGATGTCAGATCAGGGCCAATTACATTGCATATCTGTAACTGGTTTTAACAGAAATGTCTGCACATGATCTGGTGCATGTTTTGCATTTGTACTGACATGTACTCACCACAGTATTCATGTATACTTTCATATGTCAAGCCTTCCTCATAAACCATAGCAGGAAATGAACCATGACCTTTGACGTCAAAACAGAGAAGAATGTAATGTTGGGGTCTAGAATGCTCAAAATCTTTTCTTCATAATTTTACTTCACTTTACACCATTTTGGATAGAGAGAGAAGGCTGTACTGATGTTGTTTTTCATAAAAGTAATGTAACTTAAATCAAAATATGAAACTTGAAGAAGGATTCTGGCATGAAAAAGAAACAAGCAGTATAATTACTTTTTCTTATCTAAAAGGATCATTGATAATTTTAAAATGTTAACCCATAAAAGAGAATCATACTTATTATAAAACCCAGGTTGTGTGTGTCTGTTCGTTATATATTGGATCGGATTTCCTACATTTTTCAACCGATTTCAACAAAACTTCACAGGACTACATAAAATTACCTTGCGGTGGTTCTAACAGTGCCAAAAATGGGAAAAACAATTGTTTTTGCACAAAATCAATTTGAAAACGCGATTAAGAGGCATCACTGTCACGAGAATGAAAGGGGGACAACTCATATCGAGTTATACTTATTATAAAAACCCAGGTTGGTTGTGTGTGTGCGTGTGTTCATTTATATATGGGATCGGATTTCCTACATTTTTCAACCGATTTCAACAAAACTTCACTTTTTTTTTTTTGGCAGGTAGTGTTTCTTATTGTCTTGCACACTTTTTTCTTTATTTTTACATTCAGAATGCTTTAAAAATTCCATTTACAAGACAATTGTTTATAATAAAATTCTATTCTATCAGGAGACTCATAACGATTGAAAAAAATGTTTTTGTTTGGGTTTGACCAATTTGTAAAAAAAAAAAAAAAAAAAAAATCTAATTTAAACATTCATGTCCGTCAACCTTAAACAATAATTTTTGTCAATTTTATTTTTCAGTCTTTATGATGGTCGATACTTGATCTATCTCTTACTGTTACATCCCCGGGCAACGCCGGGCTCTACTGCTAGTTACCAATAAAAATAAGGTAAAACCGTTTAAAAGTTAACTTTATCTATATTTGATAGATAAAGTTTACTTTTAAACCATTTTCTGCATTTTTATCGGTAATTTTGTTTTATGGTTTAACATTTTAGAATTATCAGTGTTCTTCTTTGATAAGGATTGATAAAAAATCTAATCGCTTCAGAGGAATTGTATCGCCTGTTTCATTTGACGGTTAATTTCAACGTCTCTGCTTCTTCAAGATATATTTAGGTCTTGGGTCATTAAGAAATTGAAAAAAAAATTCTGTCTTCATACATTCTCAACTTTGGAGAAATTTTTAAATGTTTTCATCTTTAATTTTTATTTACTAGTGTAAATAATTTTTTTCTGATTTCGTCTCCCAGCAAAATGTTCATCTCAATATTATCAGCCTCTTGTCCCAGATATCAGCTAAACGCTATTTTCTTATATTAAATGGGCTATAGTCTTTTTGATATTGCTGTCTCCTGGCACACACGTCAAAATGCCAACATTTTCATTAGATTTAGATCAACTGGTACTTTAAATTGACCTGTTTTCCTTTTATAACTGCCATCTTGGATGAAAAATCTTTCTCCTCTTCTTCGGCTCACTTCTGATCTTTTTCATTGCTTCAACCAAAAAAAAAGTTATTTAAATGAGACACTTAGACAGCTATTTACAATTCTGTTGCAAATAGTTTAGTTTGGCAGAAGGTCACAGTTGTAGAGCACCCAGTAAGAACTGAACTTACTATACTATAAAATTACTTTTGTGAGACAACCTTTTAAACCATTGATTACAATACTGTAGTTGTCAAGTAGATATTTATTCGGCTTAACTTAGTTTAGCTTAAAGCCATAGTAATGGTGGAACCCAATTAAATTAAGACAGAAACTGTCTATATTATATCTGATACATTGATTTAATATTATACCTCTTGGTTTACCACATCTTTTGAAGTAACCCAGCAGTTTGTGTGGATGCAGGCTGTAAAGCTGTGGTTAACAAGTTACTTTTAATAGTGTTATCTGAAATTCCCAGATTATATATTAACACTTTATGAATTATTCTGAGTAATATCCTTTGTTGTTTTCATCACTACATTTCTGTAGTTGTCTGCTTGATTTCTTATCATTATTTTCTGAATTATTTAAATAAATCTCTTAATTTTCATTGTTATGTTTACTATACTTGCTGGTTTTAATTTTTCTGACTTTCTAGACTAATATCTTGATCTTTGTTATATTTATTTTTCAAGTAATATTTTATCGAACACCCTCTAAATGTTTCTTGCATTCAATATTCTTTGAATTTCGTCCAGTTATTTTCTCACTGACATAACATGGCTTCCCTTTGTCTTTTCTACCAATATTTTCATGGCAATTGTTCTGATGAGCTTTCCTCCTTGGTGCCTTGACTGCATTAATATAAGCATATTAATTGATTGGCAAATAGGTCTTGCTGTTTTATTGTTGAACTAGCTAGATCCAACTGTCTATCCTATTCTAATAGTTCCTTTTCTTACACTTCTTGCCTGTGAAACTCCCTTCTGATTTTTTTACCTCTCTGCTACCTACAATCTTCAGAAATTTAAATGCAATAGCAATTGCCATCTTCTGTCTTATTTAACCCTGTTCCTTTATTGCTTTTTCTCTTCACTTTTCCTCACTTCTTGTAACTCCTTGCATCTTAGGGGTATTATTGCCTTGCTTTCAGTGAAATGATTAAAAAATCTGCTAAATTACAGTTCAAGGCAGTTTATATTGAAACCAAAAGAAAGAACTTTCATGTCAGATTCACAAACTAATGGCAACAGATTCAAAATATAACTGAATCATGGGACAGAACACCAGATTAAAGAGGAGAACAATCTGTTTCTTTTTTTTTTTTTTTTTAAATTCATAATACTGTTTTTTATAACAAATTCTAATAGAATTACTTTTTTAATGCAATATTTATTTGGTAACTAGTTTTTTCTTTGTTGAGTAAAGAGTTACTATCCTTGACTGGATAGACAGGAAGTGACATACAGGAAATGAATTTGTAGAAAGATGCTATTTATTCAAACCAAAGTAGATATTTTCTTTTATTTACTATGATTTGAATGTTTAATAAAGATTATATTACAAATTATTTAGCAATTGGTTAGTATAGTGCACCTCTGCTAAGCCTTATGAATAAAGCAAGTGGAAAAAATAATTATTATATTTATTCAATGCTGTTTAAACCTATTTAAACTGAATGCTTTCAATTTAAAACCATTTCATTTCTCTGGCAACTCATTTGGCCTCAATGTGCCTATTTTTTAAACATTTATTTGATTGAAATGTTTCGCTGTTATTTCTGTGGCCTTTGCCAAGTTATTCAACTTGTTCTTGAAAACAAGTGAGAAATATAATTTTATATTTAAAGAAATGATTTGTGGTACAAAATTTTATGACCGCCATGAAAAGACAAAAATTATCTTTATTACCACTCATGATGATAATAGATAAAAAGTAAAATTGAAAAATAGGCTAGGCTAACTTGCTCAACAGATCTAAATCGAGGTTAATAATTTATAATAGAATTATCACTAAAAAGAGATGGACAATATGTATTGCAAGGGGAGGAAAAATATTGCTTAGATGAAAATTAGTTGGAGGCTCAGTACGAAGTTCTTCTGTTTACACAGGGCTTTATATTTCCTAGTTTGTATGATTTTTACTATAATGTAAAATGTGTATCCATCATGGCTTAGACTAATCTGAATAAAATCCCACTTGTTTGTTTTAGAACAGAGATAATTATAAATAAACAAATTAGATGTCTGGCAAAGTTTAGAGAAAACAACACAAAGACTAGTGATAGCCATTATTCTCAATAAAGATGCTTCAGATTTTCAGACAAAATTCACAATGAAAAAGGAATGGGTAGTATTCTAGAAGTTTTAGACTGTATCAAAGGTTTTTGAGAATATTAAGGAATTTGAAAATTCTAAAAGACCTAGTGGATAAAGGTACCAAAGATCATACCATAGTAATGTCGGATTCAGACCTCAGCAGAAAATATATAGAAATCCTTTCAACCAATTTGGAAATCCATCAAGATGTATAAAGTATGGTGGCATCAAACATTGGCTCAATAAACACCTAGACGGATAATTAAGAGGATACATTCCAACAGAAACATGAATAATGTACCTACTACCATATAACTCTGTCCCAATCTAATTATAGCAAATCATACCATGCCAACTCATTGGGCATAGAGTCAAGACATTGTAGTACTTTGGATTGTGGTGTTAGTAGAATTGTATGTGGGGAAATATAGTTTAAATGTTACTATGATTCTTTGGATGATAAACAGAAAGTAAGTATACTGACAAAATAAAAATGTCTTCAAGTTTTAAGATTGCAAATGTATTTCTTCTTTATGACAAGCCTTTATGACTAGTTCAGCTGTAATTGTGACTAGAGTTATGATTAACAGTGATGTACTGTTGTTATCAAAATCTATGAAGAAAGCAGGAATGAGGTTGAAGCTTTAGAAAGACACAGCTTGGACATCTGGACAAAAGATCAAATCATGTTATA